GATCCGATCCGTGATCCGATCCGTGATCCGATCCGTGATCCGGTCCGTGATCCGATCCGTGATCCGGTCCGGTCCGATCCTGATTTTGTCGACGCCGTTTTGACACAGAGACAAAAGGCCACTCGGAAATGGTCTATTCAGTGCTTATCGTGAAAAACCAAACACCGGGCTTAATTAAAACATATTTATTAATAAAGACGTATTTATTATTAATACATTTACCAGCACGCAAAATTAAAGTTAAAAGGTCAAACCTCTTCAAGCGGCCTGTTTTCTACAACGACCAAGAGCAAGTCAAAAGCGACGAGCTAGGATGACCCTTACAATATTTGATTGTTAACCCTAGCTCTGACACGAGAACTAACCCGGTAACCTAAATCTAATTGTCCGCCTAACCCTAAACTAACCCTAAATTGCTGAATACTGAATCCACACTCCATGTCCGTGAGGTAGTATTTCCGGAGCATTTTCACTTATTCTACGGCTCTTCAGAACGACCGCTTCATTCTACCCGTGACAGCTGTTTGAGAGTTTCAACTGCACTTTAAAATTAAGAGCAAAGGTACATTTACAGATTAAGATGTAGCGGTGATGAAAGTGTCTTAGAAGCATATAGCCAACCTATTGGAGAATAGGAACTTCTTTTTTTCCCCGGGCAAAGAGAATAGACAAAGTATTTTATTCCATTTAGTACTCCTGAGAAAATGCAAATCTTCTTAGGGCAACTATGGTTTATGGTTTACGGACGCATCTGCATTCACTGTAACTGTAACGAACTACCATTTTCAATTTCTACTTCCCTGTGAGGCGTCTTGAATCATTTAAAACATTATTCTTAATATAGTTATTGTAAGCTAGCGACAGTCCGTTGTATGTGTCCAGGATGGATTCCTTTTCTGAAGAAATGCATTGATTCCTTCCTGTCCATCGTGTAGTTTCAGATTCTCGACCATTACTGACTCAGCCTCCCTGAGGAATAAAAATCAGTATATTGATCAAAATCAGTATATCCACAGACCCCCACTATGGACCGGGTCAGTGGCACATGGCAGGATCATGCGGGCTGGGGTTAATACTCAGTTAATACTGACAGCTTTACAGTACTTAATGAACCTTTTTGTGTTGATTTGACACTCACACGTAAGCCTCATCACGTCCCTTCACAGTTTGTGAGTAGAAACAGGTCTTCCCCAAGGCTACAACAGGCTGGCTTAAGGAAACAATCTTATTTGCAATTGCATCGACTTCTTGCTCCAGTTTATCCTCTGATACAACCTTGCTGAGGAGGCCATGCTTGAGAGCCTCTGACAAGAAAGAAAAACACGACAAGGTAGGTAAGGTAAAAACTGCACGCAAGTCAAGTGGCCCATCAGGCCACTTGGCTTGCATGTTCATCTCTGGTTTATGTTGCAGTGCTCATCTCTGGTTTACGTAGCATGAAGTGACTAGTAGTATTTCTACTCCCCCCTGGAAGGGATGCTAGTCCAACACAGGGTTACCCCCAACATTAAATTCGCCAGTGCTCATTTATACACCTGGGTGGAGAGAGGCACTGTGAGACTAAAGTGTCTTGCCCAAGAACACAACACAATGTCCCCTGCCAGGGCTCAAACGCGACCGCTCAATCCTGAGGCAAGCGCACTAAACATGAGGCCACTGTGGCTCCACAAAACACAACAAGAGGAATCATTAATTTTGTTAAAGAGCAAAATTTATGAATAGGGTTAAGTGTATTTACTTTGAGTGAGCATAACTGATGCTACTTGTTTAGCTTGTTTAAATGGCAATTCTATTTGCACCAGTCCATTTAGCCTGGACCAAACAATTAGTAAATACCTTTTCAGTTTTTTTTTTTTTCTTTTAATACCAACATTGCTACAATGAGATTTTCATGCCATGAAATGTGAGTTGGGATTGATTACCTTCTGCACTGATGGGATTGCCAGTAAATAACATTTCTAATGCAACTTTTCTTGGTACTGCTCGAGCCAGTGCAACTCCAGGAGTTGAACAAAAGAGGCCAATATTAACTCTGGTAAACAAAAATTAATAACAAACGCTTTGAATAACACACAACGTTGTACCTGGACCAGCCTGTTCTAAGTGTTCTTTTGGTCTGAGCAGCACAAAAAGGGGCAAGAGCAAAACAAACTGTTCAGAATTGCAGAGGACCCTAAATTTTCCTCTGCTTCAAAAATTCAAGATGGCAACCAAGCATTTTGCAAATAGAAGTACTGAGCTCCTGCTAAATTAATACACACACACTGCACTGCACTAACCCTGGAGTAGCAAACTGTGACTTGGTGGAAGCTACTGCAATATCACAACTAGCCACCAGTTGACATCCTGCAGCAGTCGCAAGTCCTACATGTGTAAAGAATTGATAGACGAGTTTTGTTTTGATTTATTTACTTAATACTACACATAAGAAATGAGCACCTAAAATTGCCTTCGAAATTTCAGAAGATCAGAGGAGACTAAGCTGTCGAGAAAGAAGAGATTGGGTACGTAGTATAACATAACATCCCATGTTAAAGCCCCCTCGTTATAGCACCACCCCCCTCCCGGATATAAGCTCTTCTGTTTGGTAACAAAGATATTATTCTGGATATAAGCCCATCTAATGTTTAAGTGCGTTTCTTTTAAGTTTCTTTACAAACATCAAAAGTTTTAAATTAACCGAAAGTTATAGGCTAATAGGGCAATAAGGTATAAATAATAGGGTAAGTAGGGTAACAGCCGTAAATGTAATGGTATGTTAGCTTTAATTTGTTTCTCGTATACGTTTTAAGTTGTTGTTCCACAACATTTTTTTCATTCCGCTTAATATATACCCCCCCCCCCCCCCCCCCCCCNATATAATTTATTGGCCCAAACAAGAACTTTAAATTACTAAAATGCGAAAGAATGATTGATTTTTTTGTTTGTTTTTTACCCTAATACATGTAAAAAGCAACAAACGGCAAACAAAATGCCAGCCACTAATGATAAGTCATGTGTGAAATCATGTGGAACTCTAGGGATCGTGTTTCATGCACGCAGCATCTGGAGGTCGCGTATGCTTTCAAAAAATTAAAAAATTCGCAGTTGTTCAAAAATTTGAATGATGCCTAATAGATAACATCAATGCCTATGTTTGCAACTTGTAAATAAAGTTAAGATGGAACGAATTGTTGTGTTCATGAGAAATCATGAATCGACATTTTGAAAGCAAGGAATGTTTTTCGGCGGCGAGTTGTGAAGTTCTGTGGCAATTTCTCACGGAAGCGGAAACTTCGGTTTTCATTGTTGAGCGACGCCTAATATTAATTATAACAGCGATGCCTCTGTTTGCAAATGTGTACATCAGGCTAGTGAAAAATTTGTTTGGGCTAGTGAATCAAACCTGTCACTAGCCACTGGGCTAGCAAGCTGAAAAGTTAGTCTCGATCCCTGTGAAGTTATATAAGTCCAGTGCTTTAATGTGGGATTTTACGGCACTTTAATCAGTCAGGAAATCAGTGCAACTTGTACATATCTGGTAGGTTGACTCAGGTCAGTTGGTTACATATAAGGACAAGTGTCCTTTCAAGTTCTATTTTGATGGACATTATACCAATTTGGTCCGATAAAATTAGCATTTGCATGGACAAATACATTGTATACTGATGACTCAATTCATCGTCACACATGAAATGATGCTTAGCAATTCATTATCTGCTGCTCAGACATGATGTCAAGCCATATTTTGTAAAATTAACTAGTCAGACAATAGTAAAAATTTGGTCATGCAAATTCCTGTATTTATTGCTCCTGAGTTAGCGGACAAATTTGCCAGCAGCTGGATCATAGCAGCATCCCTGTAGTCGGCTGGGGGAGAGCCAGGAAGGGGGGGAGGGGGGGTGGGAGGAGGGTAAAAATATATGAGGTACCATATAGCATAAAATGTGGTCATTGCTAGTACATAATGTAAATTTACCATTCACTTGAGCTATAACTGGCACAGGGATATCCTGAAAATTTCAATCAAAATAGTTATGAGAAGCACTTGTATTTAATAATTATTGTTATTATTTATTCAATAAATAAATTTATAAATGAAAAACTATCACATGTACAGGTTTTTTGCTTCTTTAGAAAGTAATATATGAGATACAGAGTCACAATTTACACAGAGTTGCAGCCCCAACTGAAAGCATTCCAAGTCCCATACACATATTTTCTGTTCTAACTTTTTACTAAATATTATGAATCTTAATATTCATCCATATTGCATGCATATACTTTGTCTTGACTTCTGACTATCTCTACTTAAAATAATCAGCTCGTGAAATTAGTGCAATAAATTAAATATTGTTAGTACTTAAATAGTCAGGTTATTTAAATGACACAATTTACCTGCACAAGTTTCATAACTTCTGTACAATGATGAAATACTTTAGTATGGTATTCTGTTCCGTCCTCCTCAGTCTGCAAAATATAAATTGTGGCTGTATCACCCTTGCTTGCAAAATTATACTTATCAGATAGTGTAACCACATTTGAGTGATGGTCGCAATTCTCAAATACGAGTGATGTTAAACCAGGGGTTTCACTATATAAGATTTTCAGCAGGAAGGAACTTTCCTCCATGTGGTTGAAGTAGGCAGGTAAAATCGCCCTCACAGCTTCCAAATTTTCCTGGTGCATAGCCCTAAATAATAAAACAGCTTGGCAACTCAACTGTACCTGAATATATGCTGACTCATAAACAACTTTAGCTCATAATCTAATATCATAAGAGGTAAGTTGCTTTGTGTCACAACCAAATTACTAACAACTACATGTATAAGTACTAGCTGCCTTACCAGTTCTTTAAGGTCATGCCCAGAGGAAAAAACTCCTCCATTAGCAGACAAGATGATTACTCTTAGATCACAGTCAACATTGTGAAGCAAGTTTGACCTGATTGCTGTTAGCATTGACAAAGAAAGGGCATTCCTGAAAAACAAAAGGCTGGATTTAACAAGCATTAGATTTTAATTAATGGTTTTTTTCCCTCCTTTTCCTTTACTTGGATGTAACTTGCAAAGCACGAAAATCTTAATATATCATTGATTTTTCTGAAAGACTGTAAAACATTTGCCACTCTATATGAAGTGTTTTAATTTGCCTTCATAATAAGCATAACAATTTATCAAAAGCATCATTTACAATCAAGGGTGTAGAGGATTAACAAGTCCTTTCTCACTAAGCACGCAGTCTCAGTCTTTGCTGAGCAAAAATTAAAATTAGCACCCAGCAGGCTGTTAAATATAATTAATTTATCGCAATTTTTACCTTTTCTTGGGATTGTTCAGCACAATTCTCCTGATGCCATTTTCTTGGGTACAGATAGTAAGGCCTTCATCTCCTTCTTTTCCTTGACTCAGAAATCTACTGCATAGCTGAAGGGAGCCGTACAAAAGTTATTATTATAGCAGATCTAAACATCATACATTTGATGTGTATAACCCCAGGGGAGGGGAGTATTCCCTTATATGGGCTATATAGACCTGTGCGTGTGGTCCCATAGGGTATGGTATTCAGCTGTTTTAGTCATAAATACGGTATTGATTTTGGCCATTTTGGTCTCAAGTAGAGCATGCATGGTTGTTACACTCTAGTCTTAAATTTGGTATGTTTTTAAGAAGAAGCTACTTTTTCATCATTATCGATAAGACATATCTGAAACAGGGTATTGATTTAAGGGTCAGGTCTTAAATTATGGAGCGTCAAATTTTTGGTCAGCTCATAAATTATACGGTAGGGAAAATCACAGGTTTTGATCTTAAATAAGGTAAAGGTTTTGGGAAGTGGGCCGCACACTCCCACCCAATTTTTCTGGGAGTACCCCCAGGGTATGTAACATTATCCATAACCAATGCAAGGTAATCCCTAATAATAACATGATAAGAATATGCTGCTGGTTGGGATCACATTTTGATGAGTGGATTCACAGACAAAAGCCCAGAGGGGGGACTCCAATATGAAAAGACGGTGGAAAAGATTTGTTATGCACACTGGATAATTTGATAATTTTCACATGCTCCCCTCCCACCCCCTCCCTAGCAAAAGCTCACCTAAGACCCCTACCCTTCCCCTTTGGAGCAGGGCAAGGGGAAGGAGAAGCCAATAACACACATTAGTATATGCTAGCTCCATGAGCGGGAAAGATGAACCAAATCCTGCGTTGTGATTGGCTACCCAAGCAGGCAATACGGTACTGTTGTGCCCACCCGAGATTACGCACTGTGTCCTACAAGAAAAAATTTCCCAACTCCATGTCATAAATCCTTTATTGACCAAGCTTGTCAGGTCAAGATGGCTGGATACTGGCCAAGTTCAATATCCAGCCAACTTGACCGAACAAGCTTGGTCAGTAACCCATATGTATATGTCTAGAGGTATGATGGTTAAAGGTTTCTTGAAAAAGACTTCCTTCGATGTTCGCTAAAAACTTAAGAGAAGAAAACTGAAGAAGAAGAGGGAGTGGAGGTGGCACGGGGGACGGAACATGTTAGACGTTTGGTTCAAGCCAACTAGGATCGGGTACGCAAATAGGCAACATTCTCGATCGGAAATCATGTTAAATGAAATTTTATTCTAAAAAGAAAAACTAAGACACTAGCTATTTTTATGGAATGAAGACAAATGTGGATGTAATTACCTGAGCCGATGGAGTTCTTTTGCTGTAAACTCGTCTGCACAAACTCTGCAACATCTTCGTGTAAATTTTTATAATGTACGCTGTGTACGCGCCATAAACTTTCCATCCTGAATGTTCTCCTACCCAGTTTCCGAGCGCGTCAATTTGAACTGCTTTTTGACACGCGCCAAACAACCAGTCACGGGCACTTGCTCACCGGGCCCCTCCACGTGTACACCCGATTTCTCCAGAGTTTCAACACAGTATTGAAGAGGGGAGGGGGAGACAGCAACGCATTTTGAAAAGGATAGCAGTGCTTTTCCAAACTCCGTTTTTAAAACACAGATAATTCATGCTATGACACAAGTGTTCTCCACCATTGTAGATCCATCATCTTACTTGCACTTTACAACCGCCTGAAAGCGTCGAAAGTTGGAATCACCCAAAACTACCTGACTAGGTGGTTAGTTATCGAACTGATAAAATAAAGATTCAAATAGCATAAGTTTCAAACAGCCTCCTTCGATTGTGACGTATATCGGAAGAAGGCCTTTTTTTTTTCTGGCTCACAGAGGGAACGCTTTTTGTATCTTTGATAAAAAGTGTCCAAAAGATCTGTTTTAAAATTTCATGTGGACAGCTAAGAACCAGTTAAACATTTACATTTTATTCTTTCGTCGCATACGTTTGATCATATTTTCAAGAGGATGGCAAAGGTGGGGTACCAATCACGTATCACGCTGAATTTTTCTATTAAATCAAGCGTCACGGATAATTTTTTTCGCCAATTACGCGTCACGTAAAGAGAAGTAAGTACATCGCCAATTTTACTTTCTCGACCCTAAAAGCGTCGTTAAAAGAAGAACTCTCCCGATTCAACCACAAAAATGCATCGGCAAATATGTGACCTCTCACGCGAAAGGGCAGTTCAAATTCATCGACAACGTCTACCGTCAGTGACGAATGCCTACGAGCAAACACAACTTCCGGTGCCTCGCCGCCTAAAGCATCACAATTTTCAATGTTATTCCACCAGATATCATTGTCTCCGCAACATTTAGATTTGAGGTCAATTAAGTGGCGAGATCCTCGAGAACTAGAAGCTATGGAAAGAGAAATACTGTAATAATTACTTAGTTTGGAGTGGCAAAGCCCCGAGTATCAACTCGCCATGTTCAAGGACGTTATTGACGACGATGGCTTTCAAGTGTTCAAAGCCTTAAGCTATCCTGAAGAAGAAGATGCAAACGATTGCCGTGTAGTAATGGGGAAGATGAAAAGGTATTGCATCGGCGAAGTAACGTAAACGAGATTAATATTGTTTCAGCAGGAGGGAAAAACTTCCTACCAAAACACTCGACAACCTAATCGCTGAATTAAAAAGAACCTTGGCAAAGAGCTGCAATTTATGTGATTTTTTTTACGGTTTTTACACGATACTCTCATCTGCATTCGATTGGTCTTGGGATAAAACATCATGCAAAGCAAAAAGTAGCCACAAGACCAGTGGGTGCCACAGATTAGCTAGCAAGACCAGTGGGTCCCTCAAATCAACCAGCAAGACCAGTGGTATAGACCAGTGGCTATTGACCCGTAGCTCGCAAGGCCGTCTAATTGTTAATTATTCCAATAACTTCCCCCCGAGAATAAAAGTGGCAACCTGTACGGGAGACCGGGAGATTTGGTCTGTATCTATGAGGCTCCTGGATAATCTGGAAGCGTTTTAAAGGTCTGTAAGTGAACAGGCTCCCGACGAGCGCGAAAAACATAAAATAGGACGAAACGTACGGCGTTCAGACCTTTTATACGGTAGCCGGATTCGGATATGGTGTGTCATATTCTCTTGGTCTGATGCACTGCCAAAAATGATCGGTCGACAAAATGGACAAAACTAACACTGAAGCTCATAGTCCTTTAATGCAAAGTTTAACTATTTTCAATTTGGCTTAGTATAGGTAATCATACGATTTCGAGTTCACTTTGGAATTAATTTGCACGAGTGAGTTTTTCAAAAAGCTGAAATTGCACAAGCCGCTTCGGCGAATGCAATTTCAGCTTTTTGAAAAACTCACAACTGCAAATTAATTCCAAATTGAATGAGAAAAACCGTATGTATATTGTTATTTCTATAATTTGTATTACAATTGTTTGGACCTATAGTACCATGAAGATCCACGAAGACCAAAAACATCAGAGGTCAAGAAAAGGAACTGAAAAAGACCAGAAAATGGTGTCACGTCTGCCACAATTTGATGATCTTTTTTAAGACTCTATTTACTATTTACTTTGAATGAATGCTATCCTTCTAGTTCAAAGAACGTTCACTTATCACGGAAATCTAACTGGCAAATCACGCATCACGTGCTTGCATTGTAAAGTAGCAAATCACGCATCACGTTATGACGTCCTGTCCCGCGCCACACGGATAACTTGGTCTCATTCACGCATCACGTGCACGCTGCTAATTTTGGGGCGATCACGCGTTACGCAAAAACCCTTTGCCACCCTCTTTCAAGAAATTAAATTTTTCATGAAAATCGCCATATTTTCGGGTACCATTCCACCTCAAGGCTCCATTTTTGCCGGTCCTCGAGTCTGGTCCACTAGCGCGGGCTCCAACCTCGTTCCCAGGGTCTTTTCCCGCCCCACCCCCAAGCCAGGGAAAAGACCCTAGGAACGAGGTTGGCGCGGGCTCCTTTTCTGAACAGCGACTGGTAATCGCGCCTATTCCGACCACACCCAGATTGGTCTCCTTTAGGGATGTAATTCAAATTTTCCGACGAGCATTCCCGACCTTTTCATATGGAAGTCTCCCCCCAGGGTGGTCGCTTCGGCTTTTTGCCATGATATGTCTCAGCTGTCTTTTCATTTCCTGTCCTTCTCATTGCGTCCGTCGCCAGCTGGTTTCTTCGTTTTTGTTTTACGTTATTTTTAATGGGAAAACGCTAAAAGGCTAAATAACGACGTTTTGATGTCATCTTAACACCATTATCAACTTTAGAAATAAAAATAGCGGTTAGCCTGTTTATATGCTGTACAGGTGAGGTGTGAATAGTTTCGTGAGTTAAATAATAATATCGGAATAAAAATTAGGCGCAACGGGTGCTAATTACAAAACATAGAGAAACGCAAACAGACTGGCACGACTGATGAACTCTTTTCGTGCCAAAGCCATTGTTTGACATTTCTCTCTGTTTTGAAGTTAGCACCTGTAACGCCTTAGTTTTAATCCGATCTTTTATTTTTTACTATATGTATTCATAAATAATGTATTACTAAATTTTCACTTATTTACTTAAAAGAAAAATACGAAAAAATACAAGAGAAAAATGATTAACATGCTAAAAGAGTAAAAGAAAGAGAAAAATAAAGAGGATTCCCCAGCCACGTACAAACTAGGGAAACCTAGAAGACGTCTTGTCTCACACCAGACCCACCCCACGGTCCCAAAACCTCCGAAAAACAGACCCCATCGTAAACGTATCTCCTGCGATTGCTGAATATGTAAATAAATTGGTAGCCTACCTAGCAAGCGTTCCCTTACAAAGAGCTTTTCCGCATTCTGACCGCGCTTATTAAAATTGGAGCAAGAGCAAAAATTCGACGAAACAGGGGGGTAGTGGGGCGAGAGAGGGAACGTTTGCCCGTAAACCCCTCGATTTTTGGCGACAACTAACTTACTTCCAAGGACGGTTCCTTATTGGTTTTTCATGGCTATGGTCCCTACCGAATTTCAGAAATAATTGATTTTTTGCAATTCTGAAGATAGTCAGTAGGGAGGGCTGAGATGATCTTTTGACACGGAAACGAGATAAACGGCGCATGCGCACTAAAGTGACTCATCGCCGGTGGATTTACATTTCGTACGGATGGATAAAACTACGAAAAACAGCTAGAATTTCCCACACAAATCGACGAAGCATAATGCAAACTAAAGACTTAGTCAGTACGTTGAAGAAATTCGACGCCTACCCCAAGACACTTGAAGATTTTCGAGTGAAAACTTTCGGCGGTGCTGCAGGTAAGTTCAAGCTAATTTAGACGTTGTGGCTGTAATGAGATTTGTATAATAGTGACAAATTTATTATACAGCCTGGCTAATGGACAAAAGACAAGATCGGTAATCTGTTTAGAGTATGAAGAAACTTCAAAAATAACCTGTAGTGTAAAAATAAACTTTGTTTCATTTGTGGAGAGGCTATGGGCATTGTTGTTTTATTGTGTAAACGTGGCAAGATTTTCCGGTAAATTTGTAGGATGCATGTGTAATTAGAATCTTGTCACTTAAGAAAATGAAGTTTTTAACTAGGGATCATTTCCTGTGACTTTCTTGTAATTTGAAATGCATTTTCAATGTAGTTTATTGTGGGCATGTTTCGGTTGATGACTCTAATTTTGAATTTAACCTCGAAAATGCCACTAAATTTGTGACAAGTACGATTGTCCAATCACAGGCATCCATGTGTTTCTTGGACGGTTTTATGTTGTTGTGGTGCGTTAGAGGTTGTCAAAACAGGCGTCTTTTAGTTTTACAACATCATGCTTCTTGCCAGACATAAAATGACAACAAAAGATGAAAACATGCTAGAGAAACAGGCCTCTTAAAGATTTATTTACATGTACAACTTGTGTTGTGTTTTCTTGTTCTGTAGCATCAAGCTACAGTGGGTATGCTTCCATTAACCATAAGGGTTTATAAGAATTTTAAGTTCTTGTTGTCATTTGTTGGCCTTCTCTCTTGTGTTATAGTCAACTTGTGCACTTTTGTCGAATTTTAACCTCCTCACATTTTTTGATGATCAAACAAGATTTTCTGCTTGAGTAAAACATATAGTTAATAGAGGGGACTGGTTATGAAGCCCGGCAAACATCAAAGGAGCAAACAAAGATGCCAAGATTTATGTTGGAAGGTCCACGACTGTGCACAATCTTTTGTTTTGCTTTCATACACTATGCATGAATTATGTAACCAAAACATTTCTATTGGCTAGTTCCTCGGTCAGTAGTAAACAACTATTGTGTTTTGTGCACGGTCAAGGCCAAAAAAAGAGAGCAAAAACATACAACAAAGACCTTTGTCTAGTTTCATAACCATTCCCCTCTATTAACTATGAGTGAAACAAGAGTTACTTGACAATTTTGGCAAAGACACTTTGACTTTAAAGTTAAACTGAAGTGAAATTTGCATATAAAGTAATCCGTTTGGTACCCATGGTTTCATGGCACTCAGTCTCAAAGCATAATGAACTATTATTCCACAAGTATGCATTAGATGTATGAGATGATACTGTAAATCGCCAATGTGTAACGCTGAGTTGGCTATAATCATCTCATATCTAACAAGCATGTGTGGAATGATTGTTTTAACAAAACTATCCCACAATATAGAAAACCAAAATAAAATAGAAATATAAACATCCTCCCCCCCNTCGCCAATGTGTAGTGCTGAGTTGGCTATAATCATCTGATATCTAACAAGCATGTATGGAATGATTGTTTTAACAAAACTATCCCACAATATAGAAAACTAAAATAAAATAGAAATATAAACATCCTCCCCCCCAAAACAAAGTATGCACATGTTTACCATATTTGTAGAGCATAGTATAATTGCTCATACATGTATAACATGATAGCTAAGCCAATGAAAACTCTTGAACTGCATTATCCAATGATCCAGTTTTTAGTAATTAATTTTTGTAATGATTCACTAGCCTGACCCCAAAATAAGCTTGCCCCAGGCTATCGGACATGGCTTTATTTGCACATTGTGTACATGTAGCATATTATTTGTACAAGAAGAGTTCTGCTTATTTAGTGACTTTCTCTTTTGTTTTCTTTACAGTTACAATTGTTAGCGGACTTTTGATGTTTCTACTATTTGTCTCAGAATTAAGTTTCTACTTATCAACAGAGGTGAGTCAATGGATTGTAGAGTGAATGTTATAATTACTGTGAAGTCAACCCTCCCTCTGCCACTAAAATCTCTCACTTTTAATTTTTGAGTCAAACCTTTGGTTCAATGTGCAGGTTAAAATTTTTTATTCTGTGAAGAGAATCCTGTAGCAGCTGTGACCATTTAATTTGAATCATTATCTTGTGTGCGGAAATTTACTTGTAAATTAATGCAGTAACTGTTGGAATTATGTTGTATATGATACAGATGAAATTCAATTCAATTTTTGTGAAATTAATTTTAAAAATGTTTCAAATTAAAACTTGCAACTGTAGCCCTTTTGAAAGACAAACAAAAGTTTGCCAAGAGAGAAAATCCTCCCCCTCAATCTCCTCACTTGACATTAAAGTTTATTTTCCCCATGAAATTAAAAGGTGCAATACTTACCATTAGTATAATTATAATGATGTAAACATAAATTTTATAACAGCCAAGCTAATAATTATGACAGCACCCAACATATCCATACTCGTTGCCTCAGCAACATACAACTGTACAATCATGTATTTCTATCAGTTTAATGATCATCAAAATAATGTTTTTGTTTTCAGGTCACACCTGAACTCTTTGTCGACACAGCCAGAGGAGAAAAGCTTAGAATTAATGTAGATGTTATTTTTCCAAAATTGCCCTGTGTTTGTAAGTATATTGTCTTTGATTACATTATTAAAAAAAATTATAATATATAGAACATGTACATGTGGTTATTAGATACAGGCCAGGTACTGAAAGTCTATTATACCATACATGTTTATTATTTTCAGGAATCTGTGATGTAACTATGTGAAGAACTTTATGAAATTGGTTGACTGGCATTAGTTTTATTTTAGTTACAAATAATTATATCTTTGGTGTTACTTTCAAGTAGACAGGTAATTACATGTATAAGAAAGAAAATAGTCGAACCTCTCCTTACATCTGTTACATACAGTAGAATCCCAATTTTGGTTTAAAAAATCTGGATCTGAAATCTGGGGTAAAATTACGGTGTTTGACTGAGGAGGGGAAACGACAGTTGTTGGTTCAAGTTATCAAGAAATTGGAATTCCGCTGTACGGTTCTCTTGTTTTCAGAGAAACCAGAATTCTCATGATCTGGACCTCCATAACATGGACATCCATCTTTGTCTAATGGGTGTCCGCAGGAGATGTTGTCTTGATCTGGCACCAAATCTCCGAACTAATATAAAAAGAAATGTATAGCATTCAGTGAAGAGAATTTGTATTTCAAACTTGCAACTGAAAATGGCAACATCAATGTTCTTTCAGATTTAAGTATAGATGCAATGGATGTCTCTGGAGAGCAACAGGTTTGTACATGTATATCTTACAGTTATTCATAGTAAAGTTAATGTGGATTAATAGTAATAGTGTTATACAAGTTAGTTTTGGTAACTTGGGACGACAGATTCAGCAAAGACAACACAACAACAAAATTAATAGCAACACAACAGCACATGGAAATTAGTCTGGAGAATGTAGCAACTGATTATTATTTATATGGGTTTTGAACATGTAACAGTGGTATTTTGTGAGTTTCATGACATAACGGGTCAGAATGTGACAGCTTTCTTAAATTGTAGACGTATGACCCATTGGAAGGACATCACATTGTGATGGTCTGCTAAATCTGACTACAATGTACATGTATGGCTGATTCTGCAAATGAAAGATTGATGGAATATGATATTGATTGCATTGTTTATTTCAAGTGCCATTCTCCAGTGAATGAAACCAAGATTGAAACTCTGACCTAAGCTCTAATTGAAATAATGGCGTCTGGCTTGACTTGGTCATTTTAAATGGCCAATTTCTCAGAGTACGTCAATTACAAGTTGTAAAATGTATACATAATTATGTGATTTCCTTGTTGTTTCTTAGATTGATGTGATGCATAGTATATTTAAAAAGAGAGTGGATCTAGATGGGAATCCAATTGATGAAAATATAGAAAAAGGAGGTTAGTCAACAACAGTTTGCAGTTTGATGTAAGTTACTATGAATCTCAGTTGTTTGTAATAAATAAATACAGTATACAATGTACATACTAACATTATTATACATGGTAAGTGTTTCTGAGTTTTGTTTTCTTTGTTCTAAACAGATCTAGGTGATAAGAGTCATGAAGCTAAAGAATTACTTGAGGTGTGTGTTAAACAAACAAACTTTCATGTGGATTATGAAAAAAAAGGAAATAGTTAAAGCCGTCTGCAGATACTTGTCACAAGTAATTGGAGACAGCTTTAACTAAGTCAGTAAAGGCTCTTATTAAAGTGTTTAAATGCACTTTGAACCCTGTTCATACGGTCACCAATGGGCCATGAAATTTGGCCATGTTTACAGGGTGGCTGTATTAATGGGGTAGGATCAAATTTCATGACTGTTCTAAGCTGAGGAATTTAGCAGGGTTTTCTTACAAGAAAATGTATCCATGGCGTTTCGCCATGACATAAAATGTGGCAGTAGTAACAAGTTAACCGCATTAGCAAGGTGACCATAAGGTGGGGTATCACCGTAACAATCGGTTTTTTTTTCTTCTACAGCTTGATCCCAAAAGATGTGAATCTTGTTACGGTGCTGAGACACCTGAAAAGAGCTGCTGTAACACTTGTGAAGATGTTAGAGAAGCTTATAGAAGGAAAGGTTGGGCTTTATCTGACGTTGATGACATCAAACAGGTACTAATGAGCAGCTTACTCCTAACTTGGAAAATCACTCATGAATCATGGTAGTCTTTTTTCTTTCTTACAATTGGTTAAGAGACCATGACATCACCTGAGAGTTTAAGGTTACTTCCCACCCTCAGAGGCCAAAAAAATCATTTTTTCTTTTATTTGACAAAATTTAAGTTTGTCATTTTATCTTAGTGTTTCCAAACGAAAAATGTTAAAAATCTCAAAAAGCGGCCGAGTTATGTAGGAAAAAACGTATTTTCAAATGAAGTTAATTAACTAGGAAGGTGTCATAATCTAGTCAACTGGCGAGAACCCTGGGGAAATTTTCGCGGCAAACGCTCATCGCTCTTGTTTCATGTCATTTGCATATTTTTATATACGTCACACACTTGACAAAAATTCCCATGTGAAAGCTCTTTAAGCTAACTCCTATGGAAAAATTAAAAGCAGAAAAAAGTCATTGGGTAAAGAAAACGAAAAAAAACTGGCCCAAAGAAGAAAGAAAAAGCTCCATATTGTCAAGGAAAGAAAAAAAACCTTGGCGAAAGCGACAAAGGCTCTTGGTTTGGCCAAACGCCTTCGACAATCTCAGCATCTGCTGAAGATCCAGAGCATTCAAATATCCTTGGAACAAGTGGCTTAAAAATCAAAGTAAATGTCAGTGCAGGCTGCGAACAAGATTCTTCGTTGGAATCTGGCGGAAGCGATGAAGAAAATGAAACCTACCCAAGGGAACTCATTTCAGCAAACAGGGTATTCATCGATACCAATAGGCTGTCCGTCGATTCCTTAACATCTTGTTTTTCAGCGGCAAGTGTTTCATTTTCCACCTTTAACATTTTTGGCACAGGTTTTGCCTTTGCCTTTGCCTTTGACATCTTTGCCCATTATATTACATCGCCATCCTAAATTGAACTCCACTGAGCGAGATAAAAAAACATGTTGCAATGCGATGCTTTTCCCGGGAAATCTTGATCTATTGTCATAGACACTAGGAGGTCCTGTTGTTCCATT